GGCAAATAACGGGAAAATCCGTCATCAATTCAGTATTTAAATAATGGACTAACAATTAGTATGAGAAACGTCAGTAAGCATTTGATTTAATGATAAATTGTATTTGCTGACACAGTCATTGTATCGACCATAGAACGTACGAAATGGCGACTGTAAACCAGACTGTTGATATTCTTCTTTCATCACTTTGTTTGTTTATAATTTACTTCGTTTTAGAAATTGTTCATACGTAGAGCATGCTTTTGCGTATCGTATCAAACGTCTAATAAACACCTTTCGGTAATTTGCATATACTTTTGACAAACATTGAGAATTCATAAAAGCAAGAAATATGTAACAAATATTAAATTTTTCCTCCTCAATGTTGTACATGTATAAATGTGCCAATGGTAGGGGTACGCCGGCGTAGTTCCGAAATCAGATATTGAAAATATTTAACACTAACTTTGAAACTCCAGGTGAACTCATAATAAGAGCGAAAATAATTCAATTTTAGCATATTTTATCAATTTAATTTTGACTGTTTGTTTAGCAAGTTTGTTAGAATTTTGATCAGATCAGAAATGCGAAGATCATTAAAATAATTAGGCGCAGTAAAGAAATCTGATAGCGACGGTAAAATAGATTTTAAGGTCAGGACGGTGTAGTGAGTTAGATTTGGGGCTTTCTGTAACACCGGACACAAAGAGGATATGCAGAGTGAGGTATGAGGCCAACAAGGTAGCGTCCTCATTCCGAGATCTTTCATCATCTATTTTTGATTTCTCTTTCTTATTTTAATCATTAATGTAACTTGTTTTGTACCTTCAGAGAAACATGATAGATGTCTCCAGTGGGTGGTGCCGTCTGCAAAGGTTCTAGCTGTGTCTTTTTTGTGTTCTTGAAAACAAACTTTTATGTTTATAAATGTCAATATTCCATTTAATCGTCTTCAAAGGACACTATATATCATGAAATATATGGAGATAACAAACAACATTCAATTTCAAAGGTCCATTATGTAAAAATGTTAATAACCAAATGTCCGAACAAATTGAATTTTTCTCATGATATCATTTTACATTAAAGATAGTGAATTAAAAATAGTATTAAGATAACGAATAGTATTCAAGCTTAAAAGTTCATTAAACAAAACAAAATTAAATTGGAGCCAAGCAATCACAGACCTCCAAAACATCATAGGTGGTATTAGGTACCTTGGAGGGATGAACATTCTCTGCCGACCGGGCACACCCGCTGTGTGCTCCTTGTCATGGTCGGGAAATAACGGAAAAATCCGAAGTCAATTTAGTATGTACATGATGGCCTAATAATTAGAATAAAAACGTCATTCAGCATTTGACATGATAAATTGTATTTGCTGACAAGGTCATTGTGTCGACCGTAGAACATACAAAAGGATGGCAAGACTGCTGACATTCTTGTTTCATCAACTTGTTTGTCAATAGCTTACCTCGTTTTAAAAATAGTCCATACGTTTGTTTTAACGTATCGAATCGCCTGATAGATATAAACTAAGTATGCAGGTCCCTCTGGAAAATGATGGTTGGGCTTAAGAGGCAGAATTATGCTACGATATTAATTACATAATTTTCTATTTTATTTTCAACAAAAACAAAATCCGTTGAAAAAGAATCTAGAGCTTTTTTACAACTTCGTTTGTGAACAAGATACTATGAAGAGCTTGAAAATCGATCAAGTCTTATGATATGAACGTTAGTTTTCCAATATTGAAAAAAGAAAACACGTTAAAATTGTACTGAGGTTGAGCATATTATATTGTTTTGTGATATCCCTGACCTGTGAACATGCAGATTTTGTTTACTTGAAGGAAATGATCTTAATCCGTGTAATCTCTTACTCCCTGACATACAGATTATCATACTCATCAATACACTAAGCTGGGGGCATTTTCACAAGATTTTGTAAAACCGAAAATATATGAAGCATCCACTCTGATTTATTCTATGTATTTTGTTAATTTTCATATCAGCTACCATAAGGATGCATTCAGAATTTGACAATTGCTGTATGATTTGAAATGGGAATCCTTAGCTAGACCTCCAAATAACCTTAATAAATCCAAGGATTCAAGATACATGTATCAGGATTAAATTTTTACATAGAGGATACAGATATGTACTTCTAAATCAATGGCTTATAAAGATGTTCGAGATATCGAAATTCAACAGCATTTGTGGTTTTGTCAAGTTATAGATAAAAATGGTGAAAAAGATGTTGTTATTTATATACGATATAGCTAGTGTTTGGTTATACTAGTGTTATTTTTTTTAAATGATGACTAGCAACAATGTTACGAGCAAAATATCTATTAAAACCTTTATATAAATCATGTCTTGGTTTTGTTTGAATTGAAGTTGCTTGATTTCTTCAAAATAGAAGCAAATCGAAAACTGTCGGATCTTCAAAAAATGGGTTAAACCAACATTTGCTCAAACAAATGTAGGTGTAAGTTAGAGATGACGCACAGTAAAGGCTCAAAAGTCCATAAAAAATAGGAGCAGAGCAAACACAGACCTCCACAGCATAAGAGGTGGATCATGTGCCATGGAGAAGTGAGCATCCTTGGCCGACCGGTTGTGTGTTCTTTGTCATAAACAAAATATAAAAGTTAACAACTTCATAGTTTCTTCCAAGCATGAAAGTGTGTAGGATACAGATCATCATAATTTTTCCATATATTAGCCATATTAATAGCGAAACAAAATGATTGCAAATTTTTTTTTTTTTTATAAATATTATAAATCTTTACACTTGTTTTAAATTTACTATATCTGCAAGGATGTTAACTACACTTTGCATCAAATCGAATGTCAATTATTTCCGTATGTGTTTTGTATAACAATGCCTATCGATAAACAAAATAATCAAATTTTTGAATAATATTTGTCGATTTAAAAAGTACAACTTTAATGCAAAAATTATGTAGACGGAAGAAAAGGAAATTAAACTTATATATGGTGTATCTGTGTTAAACAAAACCTAGAAATACGATATTTAGTGTAGATTTATATGATATTTGCTATTTTTGTTCAAATGCACTTTTTCACTAATTTGGAACTTCAGTGAGAAACTCTAAAACTTAAAACTGTCTCTGATATTTATTGCCGAGACGGAAAAAATCGGTTATTGTTTTAAATCTCGGATATCTATGAAATAGATTAAAATTGTGAAATTTAGAGGAAAGTCGTATCTTTTTATAAAGTAACAAAACAAATGGAAATATCTTTTTAATTTTTTTTGTCCGAACTTATCAAATATACGCCATATATGAGTGTCTTTGATTTAATGCAGAATTAAATGTATTTATTTCAGAAGATCACGACATGATCTTTGCCATTATAACTATATGGGAGACGGTGATATCATTTAGTGAGGTCATTGCTCACAGAACCACTATTTTTTTAACAAGCAGACAATGGGCATTGAACGTTCAAGATTAGGATTAACGAAACTTGCATAGCTAAATGTATATTGTGTGTACTTGAAATTCAAAAAAATCCACCTACGTAGCTGATTGCAAGTGCAAATATGAGTGTACATATACAAATATTACATGGTAAATGTTATTTAAGGACATAAAAAATACACGTGTACTTAGTAAAATCGATCAAGAGCTGATTGAAACTTGAGTAAACCTTATCAAGTAAATGAAATGATTCACTTCTTAAATAATTCAGTCACATTTTGTCATAAAAAATTAAAAACCATTACTGTCTTCCCGAGAACAAAATACGAAAAAAAGTTAAATAAATACATTTAACCATAATGCATTAAATTGCTTTTCAAAGTTAAATGAAATATGATGATTAAAGAAAAGTAGTTCTACTAAAGAGACTAATTAAATAATATTATTTCTGACCTGGCATCTTATTATGGACCTTTGAAAATATCAGAATAAGATCAGGTTTTATGGTTTGGTATTGTCTAAAAAAAAAGCTTACTCAATAGGCCTAATGACCTTCATGCATTATTTATTATTAAACTTTTAGAACATATTTACCTTCGTAGCAACAGACAATTGTCACTTGCTTATTAAGTTGATTAGAAAAGCAATTGTATTTTCGGACTGTTTCTGAAACGATACAAGTTCTTGCAAAATAAGTTGATGAAACAAAAATATAAACAGACTCCTTTAATGTCAACATATCCCAAAGTTTCTGATAAGATAAACTTGTCAGAAAATTAAATTATTTTTGACAAATTAAAAAAATCTTAAGCAGGGTTTAGATTAGATTTTCACTTTTTAAAACAAACAAGACATGTAGCTGGTAAAGTGTAAATATTTGCATTTAAATGAATTACGTTCTCTAGATTTCTTTCTATTTAAAAGGATAGTAGCCGGCTTATGCAAATAATACATGATGCAAATCATTTGTGTTTTGATCACACTATTGCTGATTTTCAAATATTATGTAAAACAAATTCGAAGTATTTAAAAAAAAAAGATAGATATAGTAAGATGAATTATGACGAAGACAAAGTTTATCTAACATTTGCTTTCTTGCGAAATGTATATTTTGTGTTAATAAAGTTTCAAATTCCAAGTAGGAAATAACCTTATTTTCCTTCAGTCACCAATTATATGCAGTGACAAAATGCATACGCTGGAAATGTATCCCCCATACTTTTAAGTACTCATCTGCGTTACCCCTTAAAGATATGTTACAATACTGGAAGAAATATACTTTCCTTTTTTTTTAATTATTAAGGCAATTGCACATATGCCTAGAAATGTGTTTTTGATATTTTACATAGAATGAGAAATATATTAGATTACTGAAAAATTCAAATATATTTAAAAAATGAATTAAACGTATCAAATATATCAAGCTTCGATTTCCTCCTTTAAGAATATAACAACGGCAAGAAATGTACTTTTAATTTCATCTTTAACATCCGTGACTAATATTTTTTAAGTAGGATAATGGAAAACACAGGAAATATTAAATTTAATGCTGGTATTTAGGAAAAAATAAACTAAATTTTCACATTATACGTTGAAAGGAGTGTATAATTTAGATTTGAATTTGTAAATAAAAAAGACTATGAAAATATATGCTTAAGTATGATTCTATTCAGTGCTATTTTGAGTTGTTATTTGTACACCTGTGTCACTGATGCTTGTCCAGCTGAGTGCACATGTACCGGAACTAACGTGGACTGTTCGTCCAAAGGACTGACTAGCGTGCCCACTGGTATCCCAGCCGAAACCCGAAATATGTGAGTTATTTTAAAAATATAAAATCATTTCAGTTTGCATTATCTAATGAAACAAATAAAAATTCTTTGAGGAATTATTGACCGAATTCTTTGCAGCTAAATGCTGAGAACTGGTTTGATGATTTCCAATTTTTAGATGTTAAAATGTAAATGTTTTAAATGTTAAATGACCAGCAATATTAAAATAAAATGATTACAAACTCAACTGACAGATTTGACATACGCAATTTATGAAATAAACACCTGTTGATTGCTATAGATTGCCTGATCTGTTTTCAATAATTATACAGAACTTTGGCATCCAATCAAATAAGCAGGATAGAAAACGATTCTTTTAAGGGGCTAACAGCTCTGCAGTACTTGTAAGTATCAGCCGTTACTTTTTTCCCACGGTTCCCGTTAAATGAATAATTAAGTAAAATTCTTGTTTGATACTCTGCTGCATATTAAAGTGTTCTGTTCTTTAAATTTAATGTAAATCAAGCATTTTCATTTTTAAAGAGGTTTAATTAGAATGTAACTCTTCCTATATTCCTTTTTTCTTTAGATTCTTGGAGAATAATCAATTGAGCAGGATTGCCGACAAAACGTTTATTCTGTTGCCAAACCTAAAGACGCTGTAAGTAGATAAATATTAATAATGTCACAGAAATACAATTTCTAGTGGCATATCTAGTGGCATATCAACGGCTTCGTTCAAATTTCATATTTAAATAAATTATGCAGTCAGTACAAGAGCATTGTTATATAGCAAATGAAATACATTGAAATAACATATTAAAAAAAGTAAAACAATCAAAATAGCGGGCAAAAAAGGACCTAAACATCAGAGGTTTGTTTTATAGAATGTTGACAAACGTAAAATACAAATTGAAAAGAAATAATTATAAATTTCATTGTCTTCGGATTTTTCTGTTTTCTTAATTTTGGCAAGCAGCACATGTTGGCAGGGAATACTAACTCCTTCATGGCATCTATCCGACCTCTGAGACGTCTGTGTTTGCTATTGTCCGTTCCAAAGGGCTTTTGAGCCTGATTCCGGTCGACATGATCATTTTTCATGCATGGTTGAGAAAAAATTACAATAATATTTGCAAAAAAGAGTATTGCATAATGGAAAGAAAACAAAAATTGAACTGAAGATTGAAAATGTTGTTAAGGTATGATTTATTTTAGAGCGAAGAGGTTAAATCCTCAACTGCAACTCGGGTGAATATACTGATATAATTCAAAAACATTGTGACAAAATCTCATGATAAACTTCAAATAAATATTAAGTATCGATGTTTCAATTCAACACTTTTTTTATATTTAGATTTCTTTCCTCCAATCAAATAACTAGAATAGAAAAGGAGACATTCGCCGGCTTGTCTAACGTACAAAGTCTGTAAGTATTGTATCAAGGGTTTGAAACATTGACACATTCAGTAACATTAATGACGTATTTAACGTCTCCTAAGAATCCTTTTCATAGAGAAGTAGCATTTTCCTAAGACATATACTTAAGTTGCTTTCGCTTTTCATCTTTCAAATTTTCCCCAAACTACCGATTGCTTATTCTCACACATTTAAAGTGTAAGTACAGGTGCTATGTGGAAAAAGTTTGCTTTAAAAAACGGAAAAAACAAGTAAAGCTATGACTATCTTATTAAATTGAATGTTTAGCCACAGATACTATAATTTTCATTTTCAAGTTTAAAACAATCTATAAATTAATTCTTAAAAATCATACATTAGAATTGCATAACGGAATAAGAATTTTGAATATCACTGGAAAGTTAAAAATTTAAAAAAAACGTTTTCGAAATTTGATACTTTTTATTCCATTTTTTGTGTATCACGTATGATTAAAATTTGTTTTTATACTTGAGAATAAGACATAAAAATTTTAAATCAGGCACAAGAGGTAGTTTGTAAAAGGTTCAGTAATTTAGCTTTCGGTGTACTCTATCATCTTATGTAGATATGTCGAGAACTATTTGAAAAAAAAAATTCTAGTCTTAGAGTTGCTCATCACACAAATGAAATGCTAAGTGTTTAGTTCTATACGATAGTCATAGGAAGTATCAAGAACATTAAAATAAAATTAAAACCTTTCTTTGCACTTAAAAATGTAATTTTCATATATGTAGCTTATTACAAACTTTCTCTTTTTATGAATATGTTTATTTTTTTTTTATTTTTTTTATTTGAATTATGTACGTTATATAAAGTATTAAGGACATCTACATAAATTAAATTTAAAAAATGTGCCATCTGTGTTAAAGGTGCCGTGTACATCCATGCAACATTTTTATGTTCATTTTTTTCTGTTGCTTAAATATGTAAACTTAGACATGTTATTTTCCAATTCTATATCTTTTCAAATTCTAGATACCTTGACTCAAATCGAATAACTGCGATAGATGAAGAAAGTTTCACCAGCAACGGAATGTTTTATATCCAATATCTGTGAGTGAATAATTGTCAATTAATCGAACGTATTAAAAATGTTGTCTCCATGAAAATCATTTAAATAACTAAAAAATAAGATGTCACGAAAATTAAAAGATTTACAGGGATAAACAAAGTTGGAGGAGGAAACATTTAAAAGTATACATGTGCAATTTTAAGGTTAAAAATTAGGGGTTTTATATTATTTTATAATGCAGATGTCTTGAGAACATGTACGCGGAATGGGTTTGTTGTAAGTGCATGTAGAATTATATCAATGAAATAAAAAAAAATTATCTACAGTACATTTGATTTTTCTTCATCAAGGAATCTAAATAACAATGATCTGACAAATATTGACAACAAAACATTTGTTGGACTGAGGAGCAACTTAAAGTCATTGTAAGTAAATCAACATGTAGAAACATGTTTGTGTCTGAAAAAATCATGATATCTCTGACTTCCATACTTCTATTTATCATTATAAAGTATAAACTTTTTTTAAAAAGAGAATGATTTACATTTTCTTAGTGCTGTTTCTTTTCTAAGAACAAAATCATTGACCAATTTTATAACTGCATAAATGTTCCGAGAAAAGGTTTCAATAATTTCTGATCGACTCAATAACTTCTGGTTACCAGTAATTTTATCACGTCATTCTAAGTAATTTTGAATGCCCTTAATATGGTTTGTTTCAGAGAAAGATCTTTCATCAAATATTTATAAATTGAAAGTAATTTAGTAATGACCAAAGTTTTTATTTTTACTATCGGAACTACAAAAACATACGATATTAAAACATAATATTTCTGTCATAATAAGGCCCTAGCTAACCTGAAATGAATGCATCAAATATGAAGATAGAATACAATTTTCAAGCTCAAGAATCAATTTAAATTAAACATCACTGACATCCATCTTAAAACATCAGATGTGGGATCAGGTATCGTGGAGGAAATAGCATCTCCTGCCAAATTGTCAAACCCGACGTGTGTTCTTTGATATTTAGGTAAACAGGAAAAACGTCGTTGACAATTGTTTGCAAAAGTAATTGACATTCGACCAATTAATAGTTTACGTTTGAAGACAAGGTTATTTATTGACCAGAGCATTTGCAAAATGTCGACTTTAAACAAGACTGTTGATATTCTTTTGATTGAAATTTTAAAATAGTGCTCCGTTTAGATAATGTTAGTATGTTTGATGACTTTTTATTTAATTTCGATAAGGGTTGACACTTGTAAATAAATGGATCGTTTCTTGAATTGTCAATAGGTGTTTTCTTGTCTCGAAAAGTATCGGCTATTTTCCAAGAAAACTAAGCTCATAAGTAACATTGATAAACAAGTTTGCTCTCTCTCCCTCTCTCATACATATTAAAAGTAAAATTGTCTGAATTATCATATTTTTAGTTATTTGCTTTGTCCCTTAGAGACATGGTACATACAATAATTTTGTTCTTTGATCCTTTTCACAACAGATCAATTGAAGGAAACCCATTTCACTGTGATTGTGTGCTGGCTGGATTTGTAGAATTCATGTCTGGGTTTGTCAGCCAATCAATTGCAAAGTGTATCACGCCTGAGAATCTGGGTGGTAGATATGTTAAAGATTTGACATCCTCTATGGTATGTCCCAATCCTTCAACCGGAAGTACGTCACAGACAACCGGAGCAACAAAAGGTACATTTTTTATTAATATCTTAATTCAAGATATTAACATGATGAAGCGTTATCTGTAATTTGAAGGCAATCTTTTCATAATATTCTTTGATCACAAGATCGCAATTTCAGGTTAATTTTTTACCTTGCCATGATGAAAACAATGCTAAAGATTTTTTTTAATTCAAAAATATATCCATATTAAAGGTTTATAACTGAAGTTTTAAATTCCATTTATTACCATTTACTTGAGAATTAGTGGAACATTTCCTTTATATAGTGAATGTAGAAATTTGTATTTTTGTACTCTTTCTTTGTTTTGAAATATTTGTGCCTTCACAGATGTTACAACAAAACAAAAGCAAACGTCGCTCTCTAGTTCGCGTACAACCAATAAAGCATTTGCTTTTACTTCCAATCCACAAACCGAAAATACGTTAGAGACAACCCAAGGAACTAGAGGTCTAACTTTGATTAATGTATTTAGATAAGATTTTAACATAATACACCATAATCTGTTTTTTGAATGCAATCATTTCATAATAATCTTTGATCAAAATAACTTTTTTCAACCTTGCAGTAATGAAAACAATGTAATGCATAAGAAAAGCCTTTTATTTTTATCTTAGAGTAAATCCTGGAAAGGAGGTTAATAACTGCACGTAAACATTTCATAAACCTTTATTACTAATTAATTGATTGTTGAAGGAACATTTGTTTCGATTGTGACATTTCTTTTGTACTTTTTGTTTTGAATATTTGTCTCTTAACAGATGTTACAACAAAACACAAGCAAACATCGCTCTCCAGTTTGTGGACAACCGATAAAGAATTAACTTTTACTTCAACACAATCCAGCAAGTCAAGAATTTCAACGTTTTTTGTCTCTTCATCAACAGAAACTGGTACACCAGGATTTACTGCTGCCACAACCAGAGAACCAAAGACCGGAAGAGACTGCAGTTTTAATGAAGACCTATTTCTAGTTAGTCTTATGGGTAATGGTGTCCTGTTCTCTTTGGTGGTCATTTTGGTCTGCGTTCTTGGAAAACTACTAAGGAACAAACGAAACCAGGCATCTAGGTTTGTCTTCTTTAGACAAGAAAACTAATTATATATATATCTTTACATTTATATATCAGTTAATCGTTAGGCATATAAGGTTAGGAATATACTCTTAAGGAATCTGTTTTTTAAAGAAATTATATAACGAGAATACTCAGTTAAAAGAAAAGTTTACCAAAACAGAATAGATTTTAAAACATTTAAAATCTAGGAATCTGTATACGTGTATTTACATGTTTATCGATAAAACTTCAATGTTCTTTTTTTTAATCAATTTTATCAGATACGTTAACTTCGAGCGGGATTGTGCAGGTTCTGGTCACGGAGAGTATACACAACCTAAGGTTGTACGTGTGGGGGGCGATGGATATTTAGAACCTTATAACCATTCCAGTGATAGCGGAAACCATTCCAGTAATACCAGGAACCATGTCATTCATTCAGAAGAGACAGCATTTGTACGAAAAACTATTCTATCAAATAACAGCTACGCTGAAATTGTTGATTAAGATAGATAGTAAGCTGTAAAAGTAGTTAGGATATTTTGACCTTCAGTATAAAAATTATGTTTTTAAGATTTTATTATTACGATATATTTTTAAAACCATTGTTATAATTTTCATAAATATTTGTCTGAAATGTTATTTCTGCAGTCGTACCAGGGACATGTATGTTATATTTTGTAGTTCGAAAAAAAGAATGCTTATGAGAATTCATCTTTCCTTTAGTTGATAAAAGTATAAGGAAATAACTATGTTTTTGCCTCTTTTCCTTACGTTTTTATTAATAGATGTTTTTGCACTATTTTGTCGTGTCTGTACGTAGGTACTTGAAATAATAAAGTTTTCGATGATAAGTGTTGTCGAGTCATTGACTACAGTGCTTTACATTTATTATGCGATGCTTGTAAATGCATAAACTGTGTTTAAATATTCCTTAGCTACAATCCCAAGTAAGCTTGAGTTTTTTATCCATTTTCGTAGTTTTGGCATGTAATTCTACTAACATATACCAAGTGATAAATGCATAAAATATATGTACCCAAAACACAGATGTGGTCATACTTTCAGACTTCACAATAAGAATTTAATTATAATTTGCATGTTTAAAGAACTTACAAGCAGAACATATCTTAAACGAAATAACAATAAAAAAGAATTCCCAAATTTCCCATCACCCGGAATAACAAGAATTATTCAGAATATTCTAGAATACTTCAAATTTCAATTAAACACAACAAATATGATTCATTCTTAACTTTTGACTACTTCAAACTCTTTTCGACTGAATACAGGACGCATGAAGTTTTCAGAACATTGAAGAAATCTTAAAATCCTCATCGTCTGTAAGACGAATGACGTATTCAGAACATTGTTGAAAATGTTGTGTTTAAACGGGTGTTGTGTATACCATGAGAGTCTATAAGTAGGTCCACACTTGACTCCGATAATTCTGATGACTCTGACATTCTCTGTTTGACATCTTTCAAGTCGGTGTTGCTTTCACAAAGTCTTTGCGGATCCTCAAAACAAGACTTTTGGATGAAAATATCGTCATTAGGTGGCGCTGCTTTGTCAGTATAATCAATGTCATTGGATAACAAACGCAGTTTACTTTCTTCATAGTATTTTCTTTCTACTAGCTGCAAAAAAGAGACAATAAAATAGTTTTTACATAAATATACCCGGTATTTTATGGGAAATGGAGAAAACTGTTTTAAGGAGTGACCTACCTTTGTTCCCCTTTTTCCATACACGGTCACGATGTCTCTAATAAGTCCCATTACATTAACAGCATTGACTTCCTCACTGAGAGGCTGGCTTGGTGTATCTTACAAAAGAAAATAAAATTTTTCAATATTCTAGAATAATAACTCAATTAACAATCAATTTTTTTGGGGGGGGGGGTTGTACTTTTCAGAATAAAATTTAGAAACAAATTAATGTTGATTCCTTGAACATTAGTAAAAAAAACACCTTACTTTTATTTACATTACGCTTCCTTGGATTGTAGAAGAAAAGACAAAAGTTTTCGAATTGCTTCTTCACAATTTCCATCATTCCTATTTTATTTGAGGTTTCAGCAGTCTCAGCTCTCACTAATGAAATACTACTGTTCAGAATGGACATGAAAATCGTCACCATAAACATGATGATGAAAACGGCGTATGTCATATAAAAGAACTGGGCTGCTAGGGGTGCCGCAACAACAAGAGGGTCAAGGCGATTTTTCCCGATGAAAGTGTTGGCTAAACTTCCGCAAGTGGCATATAAGGATTTATATTGCTCTAATTTGGAGCCAAAAACAAGGTATCCATATAAAACGAACGCAACAAAAGATACTAACAACAGAACGCCAAAAGCGATCAAATCTTTTCCCGCATTTGCCATGACGGATATGACTTCCACAAATCTTTTGTTGTAGCCTAGGATTTTAAGAATTTGGATCGTTGACACAAATACAAGGGTAGAAAAGAGAACGTTAAATGCATTATCCCACATTACGATGTGTCCAAAGTTAATGAATCGATTAGCCCCAGTGAGTTTATCTTCATAAAACATGTCCATTGCCTTGTTAGTAGATTTCATTCTGAATACAAATATTACCAAGCAGCCATATGCAAGGAATATACACAAACACTCTATACAGTTCCATGGCTCTTTGAGTACTACCAGGCAACCGTGCTCTTTAAATTGCCAAATCATCTTGAAAAGCAAATAGATATAGTATAACATGAAAATCATATAAAATACTATCATGCTGAAATGGAGAGATACTAGATTTAAAACAGGTTTAAATGCTTGCGTGTCTGTCCATGTTAAAGCTCCCCCTACTTCAGGAAACTCCACCAAGAACATGGCGTAAACGAATAGATTAACGTTTGGATTGTATGTTGTGAACTCGAGAAAGACAGCCCGTGTGTTTCTGTTAATCCACTTGTACTGCACTATTTCGTCTAAGAGCAAGTGGGCATTTACCCTGTTTTTCACAAACTTCAAGATATATCCCCCTCCACTATACGTGTTATATTCCCCGTCCCTGGATAATCCCCAAATTTCACTTGCGTCAGTGTATTCCCAGGCTTCAGCGGTGTAGAACCGTCCTCTGTAAGATTCCCTTCCACATAGTGTGTCATTGAATGATCTCCACTGAAGGCAATATAAATGTTGGTCTTCGTCTTTTTCAGAGTAGGTGTCAATGCAAGGGTAGGACCATGGGAGATGGGTATACTGACATTTACCTAAAAGTGATTTTAAAAAGTAACTTAAGTGTGTATCTATTAATCTAACATCAAAATATATGTTTAATCAGATAATATTTTATACAATGTAACTAATTTTATTGTATCACAGAAGATTGCTTTTATAATACGTGTATATTTACCAGTTTGCATTCGAACTTGACGAAGTCGGGCTGGTCCTACACGAATACTTTTCATATCCTTTAACCATTGACGATCAATCACTGAAAGAGGCGTCCCTGCATAACTCACATTTGGATAAAAAGTTGGAATAAATATGGAACTTATCCACCTTAGGAAATCTTTATGGCTTTTTATCTACAAAGTAAAAAACAAACTAAATATGTGTTCCTTTTAATTATTTGCTTATGTCATTTCCTTTTGATAATTTTTACACATATTCAGAGGCAACCACTTGTAGGGTCTGCAAAATTTGATCTATTCAAGGTACATTTTTACTTCCATTTTCATTTATTTTTAATATTTTTATTGAAGTCAGCTGTATAAAAGTATCAGATTAGCATTTTGTGTTCAATATGTTAACAGGGATATCGTAACTTTGAAAGGAACCACGCTTCTTGATAAATTTGTTCAAATTGTTCTTCATTCAAAAAATCAAAACATTCAATTATGAACTTCATGACTTGACTGATTAACTCAATTATAAGTAAGTAACGTATACGTACATTGGAGAATCCATGTTGTCCTGAAAGCAGATAACTATCAAGGTTTTGCTTCATATTGAAGGACCGAGGATCACGTTGCATGAAGCTGATTCCATATATAGCTAAGATGTATACAGTAAACAGGATGAGATTTGTCAATGCTGACCGTGCCTGGGATTCTTCTCTACATTTCTCCCTTAAGGTGGTCAGTTCTTCTTTTGAATAAATGTCACACGTTGGTAAAACTTCGCTCGTTAAATCTATAAAACATGAGACTTGTATATTTCTATAACCAAACATTATCATTGTAAGATGGAAAAAGAGCAATATTTTCGTAAGTGTATGTAAATTGAAACATTACAAAAGTGAGATCTATAAGAGGTCAAACCTGAAAACCTTGTTTCCCGACAGGTGTTGTTTGCCCCTACAGCTGATCGCAATTTTTGCAAGTCTAAATTTGGTCTGTCTTCCTGCATAAGATTTTTCAATATTGTCGACATGATTATGGCTATGAATATAACCTTAACTGGGTCAACTACAAATAAAGACTCCAGGAAAGATATCACAAAAGACGATAACCATTCTTCCGATTTGGCTTTTCCCCATTCCATGCTGTAGAGTATAAGAAAAAAACTAGATGCTACAATTGCCAACAAAACGAAGATCCATGCTACGAAATACACCCAACGTGGAAATCTGCCTTTCCGGGAATTAAGAACTTCCCCATCAATCCAAAAAGTGTCAGTTTTTCGAGAGTTTTCTTTTTTGTTCGAATTACTTGAATAGTTATCCGAGTTCTTTCTAGATTTTTCGCTACTTGAATGTCTAAATGCAAAGGCAGCAAATATAATAGGTGGAGTAGAAATAATTATTCCCATGCAGGACACGTAAAGTGTAGCAAAGGAGAACCTAAAAACCCCTACTGTTATCTGATCCGAATTTTCGGTCTCGCTGGATGCTTTGAAGTACATAGCATTGGAAATCATAATGAGACACAAAAGTGCCAACAAGCATGTCAGCCTCTGAACACGAGTGAAGTTGCTTTGTTTCGGTCGAATGAGCAGAGACAGCCAGAGGTGGTGCTCGAAGAGCTGACTTTGTGTTTCATCGGAAAAACGGGACTTAAATGAAGTTACACTTGGAGCAGATACTGGAAGCATGCGATCCAGCATGCAATCTTCGTTATCAACGGCCAGCCATTTGTTACAATCGAACAAATATCTGGAATGCAGACAAAAATAACTTTTAATCTCTAATCAGTATCATTTTTGAATACAATTTTATAATGATATCATTAATTGATTTAAAAGAGGATACATGTATTATAAACCTTTCATTTGTCTGTAAGTCATCGACGATAATTTTACTCAGGAACCAACTTTGTTCGCCAGGAGGCCCCAAATTATCGTGCCATACTCGAACATATTTTATATCTCCCAAGGAGTCGTTCGTTCCAAATAAAAACATCTTTACGCTTGCCGTTGAAAATCCCTGTTAAGAATAAAACCTATTTTATCTTCAATGAATACCGAATACCCTGACAGAATTCTATAACAAAATTATTCAGAATTGTTAATAATCTATGAATTTATTAATGTTATCTTTGAAAAAAAATTCTGTATGAATAAAATTTATTACTACTGAAGGAAAGCAAAAGGGCAAGGGTAACTAGCAAGTAACCCTACTTTATGATATACCTTTCTACTGAAACCTTTCAAAATTACTTTTCCATAAAATCAGATGTTAAAAGTCAAAAACCTTCATGGATTTTGAACAGAAAACTAAAGGGAATATCTTTTTTTAAAGATTTTTTTAAAAATATGGAACTGTTTCGGCTTGAATTATGACATATCAATTAGTTTTAGGTGGATCTAATTTGCAAATGGGTTGTGGTGTTCATTTTCTTTTATCCCATCCTATTTTGAAGGCAGGCATATCAGTCCCTGCTTTATGCCATGTGTAATTCATGTGTGTCAGTTTGCATTATATGATGCCAAAGGTTATTATGTTTCTAGAAGTTTTTTTCTAGTCTCTTCTTATGTGTACTATGTGTATTTTTGTTTTGCGTCGTGTACTCAAATAAATGACTTTATTTCACTTTCAATACACTTATAAAATGTTTTATCAATTAGAAAGAAGTGGATTACATCATTATTGTTGTCATTTAAGGCTCGAATTCCTGAATCACCGTAATCACCAGTTAATATGAAATGTACATTCGATCTGGTTCCCGCTCCTCTCCGCACCCCGGTAAATACACTTATCATGTAGAAATATACATGTTCTGCGCTGTGGTCAGACAAAAAGGTAACTCCCCACTGCAAATAATTTGAAATAGACTATTTCAGCAATGAAGCTTATTTTAACGAGGCTGGGGTGTGGCAGCCATTTTCAGACTATTTTGATCTCCTTTAAAAGAAGAGCTCCATATAAAGATATACAAAAATGATCAAATTTCAAAAAAAAATGTATGAATTTTTTCTTTGCCAAATGATAGTTGACAGTTTAAGATACCTTATCTAAAAAATAAGTTAAATATGGTGATTAATTAATGGTTAATTTGTTGACCCCACAGCCTCCTTAACTGCAGAGCAGTTTCGAAAAAGAGTAAACTCTCCCAAGTTATGTTTACTAAAATCAAATTATAATGCAACAACATTCCTTAAATAATTTCGTTTTAGTTCTATTTCTTTTTCTTTTATACCAGATAGATAAAAGCTGTAAAGTAAACTAACTTTCATCTTGTTTTCAATATGAAATTTATTTAAAAATTATGTATATTACCCAATGAATTTTTTTTCCAGACACAGAAAATTTGTTTTCTTGAATATACAAATTGAGACCTCTATTAAATTTAGGTACTATAGTTAATTTGCTATTACCTTATTTGCATCTCTTCTGTCTTGTTTTCGCAGAACAATTAGTAGTATTATGTACACTACAAAGACGGCTATGAGTGTGCCATACACCGCTGCGTTGGAGGCATCAAATTTCCCCCAAACAGTCAGAAAATTTATGACGTTTGGTGGAACGTAAAAAGATGAGGAGAAAGTGTCCCCAACACATCGACACACGGTGTTGTTTAGATCACTCATTGGCAGCACCTGTAAAAGAATAACTCAATAATTGATCATTGCGTCAAATGCTGACTGACGTTTTTCATACTAATCGTAAACCCATTATTTATACACTGCTTTGACGACAGATTTTTCCAATATTTTCTGATCATGCCAAGGAGCACACGGAAGGTGTGACCGGTCAGAAAGGGATAATCACTCCTTCATGGCATCTTATCCCTGTGATCACTGATGTTTGGAGCTCCGTATTTGCTCTTCTCCTATTTTGTATTGTTCACGGACTTATGATCTTGAATACTGTTCGTTATCTCAATATGTTTCAGGTTGATAATATCATCTTTGAGCTCTTGATTTGCATGCAAAAAAACTAAGATTTATGATTAATCGTATGGTGTTTTACGTCCCATTCGTGCACTACTGATTCATATGGAGATGTCCTCAAAAACAAGTGAAGGACTTCAAGTTTACACCTGTTCAAAGGTTTATCATTCTCTTCAAAGTATCGTAAATTACGATGAAATGGTTAATCTCCAGGTATTACCCGACATCCTTCCGTTGTCCATGAGTTGTTAATGTTGTCCCACGTTCGACAACCAGTTGTCATGAATATGATGCTGAAGTTGGCGTCACGTGGTACAAAGTCCGAAATATTTGCTGGTTTAGTGGTGTTCAAAATGGTACTTCCATTGTCAGGTGCCTCAGACGTTGTGGTGAGTGATTCTGCAGCCCGTCTTTTTCTTAATTTCGAATGATCATCACTGAAGACTATAAGTATTCGTTACGAATTAGTTTAGATTTTTGATGTTAACTATTTATTTTAATTCAAATTAAATAAATCTATGTTTTTGGACATTATTTTGATTCTTAACTTGAAATTATTTTGTATTTCACCTAAAACAAATGAATAATCTCAAGAGAAATTTTTTTTCATCCGTGAAAATTACATTGCTTATATTAAAGTTGTAAAGTGTTATTCTTTTTAAATTCACTAATCTGAACTCCATGAATTACACAAACAATAAAAATGATAAACGTTTTTAACTTTTATGTGATTTTTTTATATCATAAGCAAAATAACTTTATCTATTGCGCCTACCTGTCAAGGGTTTTATGCCTAAATAGCAAATTCCTTTTCCGCAAACACCTTCTTTCAGGAAAATTTTATACCCAAATCTGGTCCAATCTCTAACTCCTAAATCCTTTTTATAACTTTTAGATGTTGGAAAAGTCACTGAACTAAAGAAAAATGAATATAATTCTGTTGTCTTGTGAATCGAGATGTCAAATCCATCTGGTTTGAAAAATATGATGGCTGCATCACCGTCGTTGATAATATCAAAGGTGAAATAAATCATCTGTTCCGAGTATTGTGGATTTATTAAAGGTATATATCTTTTAAAGTATAGTTTTCCATCGTTCGGAACTTTCGTATCGACTGTTATATTCGGAGGGATTTCCATGACCGGAACTGATGACGTCACAGCAGATGCATTTTCACCGTAAATGTAGGGATTTTTCAGGAAGTTAAAAACCTTAAATAATGCATAAAATGATTTTTTACATTACAAGTTTGGTTAATATGTCGTAAAAAGGAAAAGAATATTTTTCTATGTAAATAAATATTAAAGTACATTTACCAAACATTTAAATGTGCAAGATTTATGGAGAAGCTTGAAACTCATTTTACAGTTAGATACCTATAATAAAAAATGCAAGTTTTACCGCTATGTCATAATAAGGATCCTGGTTTTTAGAACCGTTCACTTTATTTAAGTTCACGAAAAATTTATCTGGTGCATCTACAAGATCTTTTGACGAAAGTTTCCGTATCATGATATCCAACACCCCGAGACCTTCGAAGCTGATTCTTTCTCCAACCACAACTGTTTTCTGTAGGACGTTTCCAAAGATATTAAGAATCTCCTTTATCATAGGGATAAACTTTTTTGCCTGGAAAAAAGAAATAAAAGCGAAAGAAATCTTGACACGAGAACTCGTTGACATTATGATTTACTTTTAAAATCTATTTTTAATAGTTCATTCTGATATCTTTATATTATTTTCTATTTCTAAACTCAATGTAAATACATTCAAAGATATTAAGTTGCAAATTGGATATCTGTATGTTTTCTGATAAGTGAAAATGGGGAAAGGGAAGATGTTGCACATATAGTTAATTAACTGTTAAACCAAATTAAATATTTTTTCAGAGTGAGATTTATTTTTATTTATTTATTTTTAATCCAATATTTTTTTTTATTAATTTTTTTTTCTGACACACTCTTTACATTTTATCCTCAATAATACTTTTAAAATATAATAATGAACTTGAACCCCCAAAACGAAATAAAAATATTATACTGTATCTCGCTGTAGGATCTGCATTTTCCGATGGTGTGATCGTATCCGATAAAGCATGTAGGCTCCTCTGTTAATCTCGCCATAATTCAATGTAATATTCCCGTGATCCATGTGTAACAAATCCCTTTCCTGTAGAGAACGCTTGATTCCAATAATTATATCCCCTTTGATGGCCTCTTCGGAGAGTTCCTCATAAAGATCTTGTAATTTTTCAGGTAACATCTTGTTCAGAATGTTGTTCAAAACATGATGGAGAACTATGAAAAAAAATATGATTATTGAAAATAAACTGTTTATACTAATTGTTAGCCCAGTATTTGTACAATGAATTTGACAACGGATTTCCCCTTTATTTCCCCGATCGTGACAAGGAGCATATAGAAGGTACAGGGGCCTGTTTACAAAAGGACTTACAACTTAAGACCATATTGATATCTTCATTTCTTAATTTATTAATTAACATTACATGTATATTGAAAATTATTTTAGACTTTTTAGAAAGAATGTGGTTAGATATTTTTACACAAACAATTTCAAAGAGAATTCTTAATTTTGCAAAATTTTAGAGTCATCTGAATTTTTTGGGTCTTAGTCGAAAGTTCTTTTGTAAAACGGGCCCCAGGGGCTCGTTTCTCAAAAAGGCCTACGACCAGTCGTAAGCTTAGTCCGGACTAAATCAGTGACTTAACCCGAGAATCGGACTAAGTTGCGTTTCACAAAAAGGCGGAGACTTAGTCGAGACTAAATTTGGGTTTAAATCTAGGCCTACTCGTGAGTAGGCGTAAGTGCTAAGTCTGTATACACATTGGAAAAAAGGCATGTGTTTTAATCATAAAGAGTTAAAAGAATTATTATTTTATACGTATACGATATAATACCTATTCATATTCATGTACATAATAATATATGATATGCCGAAAATCGTGAAAATTCTTAAACAGCATACTGTATTATGAGGGAAATTAAAATGGTAGTTAAATCCATCGAAGATGCTGACTTTTTCAGCAAAAGGTGGCATGAACTAGAAATTTTTAACTAAGAATTTTGAATACAAGTTGGGTACGATTTTTTAAAGAAGTGTCAGAATTTCTTCGTTGAGGGTTTGGGGGGGGGGGTTCAACCCCACCGTTTTTATTGCAGTTATGTGTTTTCTGTATAAATAAAGCTGTGTAAATTATGGACTGACTTCAACTTTCAGCATTTCTCTTTTTAGCTGAATATTTTGATCACCAAATTAACTGTACTCACCACCACTCCCATCCCCTTCCCCATTAACTTTTTTAAAAACGATGCTACATGCTGTATGTGGGTCCTGGATATTTTTTTGTTGTTTGAAATAGATAATGTTTCAATAAAATCCTCAAACAATGTCCATTTTTATACTAGTATTTTAGATAATGAAAAAAATATTTGGTAACTATGCCACCAGCCGAGTTTATGTACTTTAACTTAAGTTAATGTATCTTTGATTCTCCCCTTTAATTGCATGTAATTAAATATTATATTAATAGAATATAAATATTTAAATTTGTAAAATGTTCCAGCATTATAATTAAAGTATTCTGTCCATAATACTGTTCATTCCTATTTCACTGGAGTCACTATCGGGGGGGGGGGGGGGGGATGTGTAGATGAGTCTATTATTTTTCGTAAAAGATGCTTTTTAGTCATTGTCAATCTATCACATTTCTCGGACGAAGTTTGCCTAAAAAGGTTTTTTTGATAGATTTTTGAACAGAAAAATAATTTACATTATATTTGAAACAACATTACTCATATAATAATGATGATGATAAAGTGTTGTAAAATGTTTTTATTGTTAATGTAAATCGCGACGTTTTATTATCTTTAAGTCTAGATTAAATCTTTAATATACATTCTTCATCTATAAAAAAATAATAATGTATGAAGTTATGAACATATCCTCATTAAAAAATGAAAAGGAATGGATATATTTAAGGAAAAGATGGTGATGTTGTAATTAGTACCTTTCCCGATCTAAATGAATCTGATTTGAAAATATTGAAATGGAAAATTCAAATGGAGAAATTTATAAAATTACTAGATTTCTTGTCTGTAATATGGTTCACAAGAATTATAGATTTAAAACTAATTTAGCTTTTGCAAGCCATCATTGATACTGCAATTGCTATATATAGTTACGTATTTTTACATGGACAATGTAAATAATTATATCGATATCAATGTAATACTATGTGTCCAAAATACAATACTAATATCATAAATATACACAGTAGTTATATACATGTATCAACTGAAATGCCAATATGTCTAATTCGTAATGAATAAATGGATTGATATTATAAAATGAAGACAACTGATAATTTTTCTTCAAAATTCTCTTATCCATATTTTAATGATTATCATTATGATATGATTTCAAAATTGTTACATTTTCACAGTGCGCCTATGGGTCGGGGGCTCCGGTCCTTCACTCTCTCTGCGTAAAGTATTTTAACCAGAGAAAAACTTCCCTGAGATACTGGTTACACCCCAAACGGCTTTCAAATATATTGCTACGAGCCTGTTCCAACCCCATGCCTTATAATTTATGGCTTTTACTCATAGGAAAATTTCGTTTTATTCCAAATTTTTGCAAGTACGTATAATACCGGGTATACACGTTTATATTTTTCTAAAGTATATATTTCACTTTTAAGATATATCTGAGCATACCAAAATACATATAACTATTTAATATAAAAGTTGTGGTTGTAGAGGGGGAGGAGGTTGTGTCCAAAATGATAAAAGATTTGTTCAATCAATTTTTTTGTGTGACTGTGGGCCCCTAACCCAACCCCAATCTGCCTCTTTTGTCAAGATTTCTGAATCCGCTAATACTAGCAATTATATGTAAATACTTTGACCTTGAAAAATACAGATAGATTCGTGTATTATATTTGTTTGAAAGACGATGAATAGCCAGGGAAAATTCGTGCTTCTTGTGCTTTACTTTTTATAATCAGGTTTAAGTGTGATCCACCTCATGTTATTGAACTCTCTAAACCAAATAAAATACGATCTGCGCATGCTTAGTACCTAGAGGAAAGGTCTTAGTCTTAGGCCCAGTCTTACGCCGTTTTCTGAAACGTGATTTAGGCCCGACTAAATTTTGGCGTAACTTTCTTAGTCGGACTAACTTAGGCCCAAATCTACGACTTTTTGAGAAACGAGCCCCATATGTGATCGGTTGACAGAGGAAAACCACTACTCCATGGCAACTGATGTTTTGGAGGTCCGTGTTTGCTCTGCTTCTATTTAGTATTGTTTTATGGACTTTGTTATCTCCATATGTTTTATAATGATAAGAATGGATGTTGAAAAAATTAATTTGATATAATCAATTATATGAAGAGTATTCAAACAGAAAAACAAAATAAAACAAAAGAAAAGTTAATCTTGCCTGTTGCTATATCATTTAAGTTTTCTACAGAGCGTGTCGGGAATGGACGTCTTCGGCTCCCAGTTTCCAAACAGGATATGACAGAGTCCACAATTTCAGTTGTTATGTGCTGTTTTCAATTTTAAAGAAAAATCAGAATTTTTACGCTAGAGGATATATTTTACATGCTTATGAAAGTATGCAACCTTTTTTTCTATGTGTGACAGACATAATTTGCCGTTACACATTAGAGGATAAACTGTTAAAAAAAAACCTTAAGCATGTTAAGATGTGGAGTTATATATATACAAGGTTTTCAACATTTATGTTTTTAGCATAACTTTTAACATTAAACTTTTACTTTAAATACAAACTATCACATTCTAATTATGTTCCTTTTTCTTTATCATTTTAACATCTTTTTAACATTTTAAATTCTTTAATTATCAAAAAATGCAAAAAGAGATAAAGTGATTTCAAATCAGCAAAATAAAAAAAACAGAAAAGAGAGTTCTAAATTGGCTTTATAAAAGTAAGCGTAAATATCAACGCTCAATATATTTTGATTTTTTATCATTTGGTATAAATCAGATACTTTTATATCCTCACATGAATAACTAGTAAAAAGATTTCTGTGAGCAGATTAAATGTTTAATTGTTATCAGATTTAACTATGAAAGGTTTACTGTACTTTCTGTTTAAGACTTAAAAAAAATATATTAGTAAAAACGATGCGCAGAGAATTAAAAATATCACATAAAAAGTTTACATACCACTGCTTCCATTGATAAGTACGGTTGATAGCGAGTTAGAGCATCCATGGTGCTAAAAATAGTCTGAAGATCGGCCAGATTGAATCTGTCTTCAGATTCCGTGCATCCGGGCGTTACCACTGTCTTCATTCGCTTGAGTAGTGTTATTACCTTCTGAATTTAAAGTGCAAAAATATATTTATTAATTACTTTAAAGGGCTACTGCAGTGAAACTAAAGACTACCAAATCTAGGTAAATTTAAAACAGTAAAGAAAATTCTTAACAATTAGAAAACCTAATGTATTTAAATGTTAGAGGTATCCTTGGATATCTGAACCCCATCAGTATAAAAAAAGAACATGCCACAATACCATCTGAATAATTCTTATTTATTTCTCAATTTGTTAATTGAGTTATGTTTTGGTTGCAATATTGTTTATTATGTACTATGTATTATTATTAGTATTATGTATTATTATTTATTATGTATAATCTAAAATGATTTTTTTACGCATTCTGGAATTTAAGTCATTAAGTACGTATAGACATTTGTTCGTAGAGTTTCAGTGTGCCAGGAAGGACATTATTTTCGTGTTTGCTTACATACAACACTGAGTATTCTAAAAGTGACATAGTAATGATAGTGACGGTATTAAGGAATTAAACAATGAAATATACATTAATTAGTTTATTATATATGTCTTCCATGAGACATTATTTATCCTAAAGCAGATATCTCATTGGAATAAAAGAAAGAGTAGCAAAACATTCATTAAAACAGAACAAATTTAGAGTAGAAAAAACACAGATTGCTAAAGATATTAGAGATGTGATCAGGTGCCATGAGATAATGAAGATCCCCTTTTGATCAGTCACACCTTTCTGGTCTTCCTATGAAGCAATTCATAATTAAGTATAAACATGTACATGTACAGATAAGTCCTTTTTAGGTTGCTGAAACTTGACTTTTCTTTCTTTTTTAAATATTGCTTTTATGTGAGAAAAGGTGATTAACAAAGTAGACTGGTTGTACTTTTATTTTTTTTAATATCAGTTAGTTTTACCTGTTGATAGGCAGGGAAAACAGGACCTCCCCCGGAAGTATCGATGACTAAAATTTCAGCTCCTCTAGTGACTTCGTCCTCCGTCGTAGTTCTATCCTCCTTAAGGCAACAAATATTAGGGTAGGTTAAAATTTAAAAAAAAAAATCAAATTTGAATTTGGATGTTTTTTTAATAAATCTACTTTTTGAAAGTGTTTGAAAATCGATATAAAATTTAATGATTTATTTATTTTTTAAAAATAAAACATTATAACTGAGTAAGGAATTCTTCTACATACGTATGGAAATAGTCTGAAACTGGACGCAACAGCTGATATTAGGTTCAATGTTTGAATGTCGTTTCCAGAAAGAAAGAAATTATTGAACTTTGAATCGCAATTTTGAAAGGTTTTGTCGATTGTTGATATATCTGTTTCATTAACAGGGAAAAAAGAATTCTCTTGTTTAACCTGAAATTAAAGAAATATATGCATACGACTAGAGAGAAAAAAAGAATTATAAGCAATTGTCAATATTTGGATCATAAGTATCTTTTGACTATTAGTTTGTTTTATTCAATTCGTTTCTCAAACGACAGATAGTATGTGAGACATATTTACTTTAATATCTTTTGAAAATGTCCCATAATCTCCAAAGAAATCGAACATCATGCTACGCTCACCTTCAAGAAGATAATAAAACAGATGATACTTGAATATACAAATATGAGTTGCAAAATTGAAATGAAAGAGTAAAAATTCGGTTAAAATGAAACAAATGATAATTCGACATTTGCTTCCTTAATGCGTAAAACCGAGAATTACTCCATATCAGTTCAAAATTCTTACAGTATTCCTTATAAAATCATTATATCCACGAGGTTTTATAAAAGGCGCTTTATCCAAGAGTTTTATTGTGATTACTTTAAGCAAGAGTCAAATTTGAAAATTAGACTGCCCAGATAGCAAAACATAGTTGGGCCAACGTTGGCCCAATTTTTTTTTCCAACGTTGTCCCACTGTTGGTAACCCTACGTTGGTCCACGGTAATTTTGCTCATCGGCCCACACCCGAACTAACCACGTGACTATAATATGGGTCTCCAAACTGAATAGGCACATCGAGAATGCTACGCTCACCTTCAAGAAGATAATAAAACAGATGATACTTGAATATACCAATGATATGAGTTGCAAAATTGAAATGAAAGAGTAAAAATTCGGTTAAAATGAAACAAATGATAATTCGACATTTGCTTCCTTAATGCGTAAAACCGAGAATTACTCCATATCAGTTCATAAATTCTTACAGTATTCCTTATAAAATCATTATATCCACGAGGTTTTATAAAAGGCGCTTTATCCAAGAGTTTTATTGTGATTACTTTAAGCAAGAGTCAAATTTGAAAATTAGACGAAGACAAAACGTAACTAAAGAGCATGGAATGCAAAACTTTTGAAAAGGTTTAATAGATATATCCAGAAAAAATATTCTTTGGAAAACGATATAATAAATACCAGCGTTGGCCCAATATAATATCCCATCTTTGAAACACCTAACCAAAAGAACACTTTCTGTCAATCAAACTGTGCAAAGATTCGTTAAATGTCAATTTGACAATAAGGCTTTACCTCCTTCGTAGAGGAAACTAACGACATTTTCCTGTCCATGGTGTAAGTTTCTCTTCGTCACTGTTTCATACAGGTAAATAAATACGTCATCTCCGTCCGGGTCTTTCCAATCAGAACAGTTCACACTCAGGAGGACCATGGGCGGATCTATATATAGAAACAAATATTTTTTAGAAGACAATTACTGAGACAGAATGAAATAGATGATAACGAATAGTAATCAAGCTCAAGGGCCAAGTTATACAATGGCACCGCAGATCGAAGTATCAAATTTATCACACATACATAAAGACAGAACAGACTCATATTAATCAGATGACCCTAACATAATAAAGTTACCTGTCTTCAGTCCAACGGAGCAATTACCTCCAGAAGGAGGTTTGTTAGTTTCTAACTTCCGGTATATTGTTCCTTTAACCTCAGTCTTATTGACGCCCTTCATCATGTTCATGGATAAAGTCACTAGATACGTTTGCGACGAATTTAAGAAGAATTTTGGCAGAACTAGACTCTGATGACTAGAATTATCTGGAAAGAGAAATTAAGAAGAAAAATAGACATGAGAAAGATGCAGAATCATTTAATTTATTTTATTTTCACGGAACGTCAAACTTTTAATTTTTTATGCTATCCCTACCTTTTCCTATCATCGTTGCAATGTTTTGCCACGGATGAAATCTTCCACTATCGTTTGTCCATAATTGCCAAAAATATCTGACGTCATCTTCCGGTTTGCACGAGTCGCATTCTGCCTCCAGTGCAATTTTAGACGATACGGCAACTTTATCATTGCAATTTAAAATGCAGCTATGGCATAAAAATAATAAAAATGAATAAGTAAGATTACATACTCATTATGAACTATATTCTAATGTTGGCATATGATTTCTGTTTCATGATAAGGAATTTAATATTTATTTCAGATTCATGATGAAAGTTTCAATCTCCTATCTTTTCGTTTTCTTCAAATTTGTCTTTACTTGATTCGTAATTTTGTTGCATTTCCTCCTCGTAGATTTGCTATCTGTGTGAATTTCTTTTCAGATTTTCTTTCTTTAACAGTTACTGTTACAGCATAATCAGAAGGTGTTTGCTTGTCATCAGGTATCTGCACTACCCCAGGTGACAGCTCAACATTACACAAATTGCCAGTCGTTTTCTTCAAGTTAATAGTGGGTTCTGTCAGGTCTATAGGAGAGACTCTAGAAGTAAAAGAAAATCAAAGCATGATTTCCAGTGTAAATAATTTTGTAATTCTTACATATCACTTGTTTATCATATCGTTTATATGTTACTGTTCGAATGATCGTCTGTTTGGTGTAATGGTAAGCATGTCTGCTCTAGAGTCGTTTAGTAAGGAGTTGATCCTTACATCGCAGGTTCGAAGAATCCCATTGTGGGACGTGCACACCGGTAATTTGGTTGAGATGGTATACTAGTATTTGTTAACCGAGGTCCCGTGTCGCAGTAGGTGCTGGCCCAAAAAATATCCTTCATTGCTCAATGGCCCTGATGCTCTCAGCGGTAAATGCGATTAAAAATTTCTCGAGTGGTCGTTAAATAAGATAAAAAGTTTTCGAATGAAGAAACAATAAGCATGCATAATTACAAATTAATAGAAATTTCTCTCAAAAAGTCGTACTCCGATGTATACAGTCGTGCTGTTAGCGAAACTATATTACGATAGACCAATGTAACAATTTATAAAATCATTGAGCATGTTGAGGAATAGGTATTTTATGAAGGGTCAACAATTGATGTAAAATATGTACTGAAATGAAGAAAAATATATGTTACAAAGTTCATTAAAAGAAAACGCGGAGAGCAAAAGACCTTTAAATTCACATAGTAAAATCTTTTTAAAAGCATTATTTTTGAAGAACAGTAAAATCGTAGTGGAAGAGTCCTAGGAAAAGGTTCATTCAAGTTTTCAAAACATGGCCCAATATGATATATAGGGAGGTGGGGGTATAATGTGAATTCGAATATTTGAAAATGTATAAATGAATATAGATCATTGGATATGCAGGTGAGTGCCTTGACTCATGAGCCTCTTGCTTTAGAAAGCAGGAGATAAAGAAGCACACTTAGTAGACAGATATACAGTAAAGTTAAATGTTAATCTTATTTAAATACCTTTTACATTCCCATGTGAAAGTTAAGTTTTGATTATCTCCTAAATCTCCATTTGCTGTATGAGATTCTGTCAAGGCGTCAAATTTATAGTCCCATGCTCCCAAAACATAATCTCCACCAGTAATGTAGGCCTGGGGAAGGGGTGTTGTGAAATTTATATACATCCACTCAGTTATCCAAGTTGTGCTCAGGGATACATTCAGTAGAATATAATACATCCCTTCTGGGAGCTTGCCTCTTTTGATAAGTAAAGTGCCCTTTTCTTCGTTCAGCGGATTTTCATATTGAGTATCTTTATCTGTGTTTCCTTGTACGTTTGCTTCGTATATTTTCCATTTGAAATTTGGTTTCTCGTCATTACATAAAATGTTCATCCTGTTTGAAATGTACACATCGTCTGATGTGTAAACGGGCATAGGCTGGGATGACAGGGAATAATGGCGATCAAAAATGCCATTAGAATCAAAACAGGCATTTATCACCGTCACGTTTTCAAGAAAAGTTTTGTTTGAAACGTAGTTCCAGCACATTACATTTACAGTATGTGTTCCGAGACTGGTGTAGACGTAATCAAAAACTAAGGGCTCGGAATACGTTATATTCTGATTCTTTTGGTAAACTCCATCGCGATCAACTGCATCTCCTGACGTCATACTGCAGTATACGTAAGGTCTGAATTTATCTGAAGAAACATTAAAACTGACGTTACCAGGCGGTAGGGGAACCTGATCAGGACGAATGTTGAGATCTAGAACATTTTCTAAATCATAATCTGATATGATAGGTTGATCAAGATATATTTTTTCTCCAGCTTTTGTAAAGACAGACGGTATATAAAATCCGTATTTTTGATAGATTATAGAGAATGTATGATTGTTTGCTTTGTCTGGATAAGCAGAAGTGGAATCTGTGGAATCTGTGTCTATATCATATGTTGAATTTACAGGAATTCCCTGTACTTCACAGGTAACCGTCTCTCCTATTGTAACATTTTGTGGCGTACAATGAAAGGATGCAACCCCTAAAGTAATGTTACGATGAAATGTGATGTTTTCTGTTTTGGATGCCATCTTTATTACCATGTCGTGGATCCCACGGTGTCCGGTATACGTATGAATCCTCGTTTTTGATTCCAGTGTAAAGATTTCATTGGGACTTCCGTCTCCAAAATTCCACGTTACATTTATGTCAGGAGGGAATCGAGAAAAATTTTTTAAGGAAATTTTGAACGTCACGATAACAGGTACTGTTTCCGATTCGTAGTAATGGCGATAATTTTCTGTAGGTTGTGTTCCATTCAACGTCATATTCATGGGTACCGGGTCTTCATATTCAAATTTAAAGTCAGATAAATTGTACGGCCCCACATAAATAGTGGCAAATACGCTTTGTTCACTCAAGTCATTTGTGCAAGTGAAATTAACATCTTTTGTTCCTGTCGATTCGTAAAAGTGAACGTTATGAATCGTTTTACCATTTGTAAGATTAACCGGAAGTTTTTCTTCTACGTCATCACCGTACTGAAATATACAACGGACATTCGTTGGATCCGGATCTGTAGATCCGGTGTAGTTTAAGAACATATCAATCTTTCCGTCAGGAAACGGAATATTATCCGTCTCTGGGGAGAGCATTAGACTACCTTCCGGGATAGGGTATTCTACTCTCACAATTTTGTTAGCAATTTGTATAAACAACGTATTCCAAGCTTTAAGCGTCACGTTGTAAACTCCTGGAGTGTTGTACTCGTGTACGAAAGTTGTATTTAGCTGATTTGATTCTTGGATCATTTCAGATTCATTTGAAAAATTGCTTTGATCTCCAAAATTAATTGTGAATAAAAATTTTGACGCTGAGTTAAATTCGAACTCAAACTCGATCGGTTCTGCAACTCCAACAAT